TTGTATCAGTAAGCCCATGTAAGAAATAGTCGCAATTTCAGAACATAGTTACTTATTTAGTGCATCTGATTCGAACGATGAAAACTTAGTTGGCTTGCGTGTTTTCTTCAGTAGACGCGCAAACCAGAATCTGATAGCTTGTTCTACAAATATTAATGCTCGACGCTCGGAATTCATCAAAAAATAGCTAAAAAATTAACTTTTTTAAGAATCATTCTACCAAAATTAGAAGAAATTGTCAAAATTTGAATAAAGCAAATCCCTGTGATTGCTTTGACTACAGATTCCGTAATAAAAAAGGCTATATTACTAAATCAAAATTTATATCCTCGCGTGTCTGAGAAAGCGTCAGTTCATTACGAAGAAGAGCACTTAGACGAGTAACATTTTCACCGACGTTCACGATAATTCGGTGTTATCCCGTTTATGTGTACCTAAAATATGTTCTTCGAACTGTTAGAAATAATAAATTTATACGCAGCTAATCCAGCATTCTTTCCACAAAGTAATACTAATAATTTGTGTATCCTCCAATTTTAGTGATTCACATTCAGTTTTCGATGTTAGTTATTCTATTAAACATTTTTAGGCTGTCAAAGGTGTATCTTCCCTGTCTGAACCATTGTTGCACATTGCTATATTCTGCCGAATTTCACTTAGTCCCCTTACATTTTCCAAATTTGCAAAGCTTGCTCCTTATTCCGCACTGTCTATGTCAGATCGCGATGCTCACAATGCATATAAAAAAATCCAGTTCACTTCAAGTAAGCGAGATGTTAAATGAGAAATAAAGAAATCTCCATCGCGCGCCACCAGCAGATATCCTCCCATTATGAACACAACCTTTAATAGCGAGCAACAAACTAGTGTGCTGGTAATGATAGTGTTTTGAGAACAAGCTTCGCACATAACGCCTAGCTATACCAGTTGTGAACGATCAAAAACGTAGGAGTTGGAAGCTTTAAAGGGTCCTGACCAGCATGTAACCAAATCTGTGAAATCTGTTGTTGTACCCATACATTTTTTAGATTTTTGATATTAATATACTACTCTGAGGCACGGTGTTCGTACTTCAAAAAGCATTTTGAAGGATTCGATGGTACACAAAATTGAATTTATAAGGTAAGTGCAAAAAGAGGTGCAATGTATTAACAAAAGAGCTCATAAAGGAGTGTATGGGACCTAAGTCACTTCATATATTTTTCGATATGTTTCTTTTAAAGAAACACATGTGTAATTCTTTCAATCTTTGAAATTTTTAGGTCCGTTCAAGAGAAGATGGGCACTTGTACGCAGTAAAGCGCATAGGACAGGAATTCACTAATGAGCACGTTCGGCGCACTGTTACGCGTGAAGTTCAAATAATGGAAAGGATACCCCCTCACCCAAACATTGTTGGCTTAAAATACGCTTGGCAGGAAAACCGCGTGCTTTATATTCAAACAGAGCTATGCGCGATGGATCTTATGACGCATTTGGTAAAAGAATACACCCTTGGTCGAATGCTAACTTGAGTCAACGATGTTAACAAATGTTAGCTTGAAAAAAGCTAATATAATAATAGATTAATAAATAAATCATGGCTACATTTTCTGGTTCAGTAGTAGGTAGTTAGTAGGTATTTTTAGCAGAACATATACACAGTACAACCTGGAAACTAAAAAGGCTGTCTATTGTAAAATTTGTATTTTTTTTTGTAATATTTACAGAACCTAACGAATCATTTGCTCGCCTGCTGATTTGGTTTACAGAAACATCTCACTGATGGGGATCCCAATGATTATCCAGATCCAAGACCCACAGCGCCGGAGAAAGTGCCCGAGAGCCTTTGTTGGGCGGTATTAGTTGATTTACTTCAGGCTGCGGAATATTTGCATAAATTGAGGCTAATTCATCTGGACATCAAGCCGGATAACACGTTCCTCGGTTTACGAGACGGTTGTTTTAAACTCGGCGATTTCGGTGTAGCAAAGGGTAAGTCTTCTTTCATGGAAACTTGATTAGAATCAAAAATGCCAAAGGTCGTCGATTTTTAACGTTTGTATTGATAATTCGGGTATTTCTTACCTACTGCCTCCCCAGAATTCGTGGTCAGACAAGAATAAAAAAAGACTAGGAGAATGTGCATTTTAACGAAAGTAGCGCTAGCTGCCCCTGAAATACCTCAGACATTGCCTTTCCGCTTGTTTCAAAGAGTTAAAATAGAAATACGGAATGTGTGATAGGAAAAGAAAGCACAAAGAAATCATAAGATATTTAAATCAATAACCCGGTTTTGTCTCGGCAGCAAACACAACAAATCATAGGTAATTTGCTATCAATGGTACGAATACTTAGCGGTCTTAACCCTGTACAACACATGTTCCCTGTTTTTTAAATCGTGTGTTAAAGAATAAGTAATTATTGTTACAAGTTAGGATTCCTTTCAATGGTAATTGTTATGTGATCGTGTCATTAACTAATCTGATAACCACGATACCAACTAACTGTTCATGTGTATTCTTAAATGCAGATGCAGATGAACCGGGTTTAATGGACGATGAAGGTGATGGTCGATATTTAGCTCCAGAGGCGCTTAACGGAGTAATTACCGAACTAGCTGATGTCTTTGCGATTGGATGTACAGTTGCACAGATGGCATTAGGTCTCATCCGTCCGAAGCACAGAAACTACGGAGACAACTGGTTAGAGCTCAAGACAGAGCCAAACAGTTGGACCGCAAACGAGTCGCTCGCACGTGACATACGAAGTAAGTGAAGCGAGTCATTGTAACTGGCGTATCGAAGTCGATAAGGAACGTGCGGCATCCTGTCATGCACGTATGGTATAGGAAACTTTTGGTGCTCATATCTACCATCGTAACAATTATAGTCTATTGCCTGCTTGGTAATCATATTTTTACAGTGAAAAGCCAGGATCTCTGGGGGGTTTTGAAATTGATGTTGGCCGAGGATCGAGTACGGCCATCTGCGGCAGCTCTCCTTGAGAGTCCGATCGTGCATCAGCATAGGCAAGCGCGACAACAACAGTTAGCGCGGGACCGAGTCATGTACGTCATATATATACACACTTCCCGCGGTTTATATTTAAGAACAGCGCTGTCTTAACACGCCGTCATCTGATTTATAGTTTGTGCTGTATGAAAAAATATTCGCAAGAAAAAGCTTATTTGATACACTTAATCCCAATGTGGGGGCATCGAGATCCTGTCTTGATATCAAAGCCATCAGGTTGTACAAATTGTGAAAGCACCTTCCGCAGATCACGATGGCAAGCATCGAGTGGTACGGTATCTTTACGTTTGGTTTACCTTTGCAGTTGCGATACTACTCATGCGCGGTTCACTAGCACAAGGACTAGAAGATGTTGCACCCTTGTATACTCTTTCTAATGAACAAGAGTTAGAAATATTACAAATTTTAACATGACGCTCCACAAGAAGAGCCCCTTTGGCTGTTGCCAAGGGTAAAAAACCTGTCAGGTTGCTGCTTCCAGGAGATACTGATGTCATTAAATGTTTGTGCTTTCTGCTTTTGGCTCCGCTCGGATAGATCACGTGTTCGAGGAATAGTTTCAAATGTCGTCCAAATGTTGAGTAGTTTCCTACCCGTGGACGTTGTATCAAAGGTGCGGGCTGTTTTACCAAGACAACAGCAAGAGCACGCACAACCTCAGCAACAAGCACCGTCCAGGAGATCGCTGTTCCCACCTGCTCCAGTTACACCACGGGCAAGCATACGAGATCCTCGTAGCGCACGAAGAAGCTCTGACCCTTTACGCAACAAAGGGTATGTTCATTATATACAAAATAGCAGGTCTAAATGGAGAATGTTTCTTACGCGTTGTTTCTAAAACCGTGTCTAAACGAAAGCATAATTCAACAAAATTTCCTGCATGTGCAACCACCGAAAACGTAGCCGATCGATTTCGGATAAAATTCTAGGTTGGGATCGTCCAGCACGCACCGAAGGATTAGACGGTAGCTGATTTTGTTCGAACTCTGAAAACAACGCATTGACTCTATGGCGAGTTTTTTTTTAATAGGACTCGTTTTCGTCTGGGACTAGAAATAGCTGATGAACACGTGCCCATTACGATAAACAGTCCGTTTTGATTTTGTCGCCGTGTATGCTATAGGATGTAGTCAGTTGTACACGAGTGAAGCTTTGTGATTTCTTCGTGCTTTTTTCTATCGCATCGCTTTCGTAGAACATTACGCCATTCATGCCAAGTTTCTCTTAGGTGTTTCAGAAGGAGCGCAAAGCGGGGCAGGTTTACATTTTAATGCCAAAATCTCAATGATTAACATTTATGTAAGAAAATTAAATAGCGTGTCATCACGTTCCTGGCCTAACTTAGTTGCATCTCGATTGAGCTTATAACTTTTTCTGTTATCATTGTCACTCGTTCATCATTATTTTTGCAGGTTTGGAGTGCGCGAAACGCCAGATTCGGATGATGAAAGTAGTGCGGCTCCAATCAACCTTTCCGGGGCTTTCGCTGATGAAGCATGAAGTCATTCTGATCAAGAGTGCAAAGGTTATGCGACGGCGGGCTGACTGAGCTCACCACCAGGACTGAGCAATCTCAGATAAGACTGAGTGGCATCACAAATCGTTTCTTATACTTTGTATCTAGCTTTCCACTTTGTCACGTGTAGCTCGACCTCATTTACACTCGCAGAGTGGAACAATTCTTACTACGCAGAAAGGTTATTATTGACAGGTTAAAGGTTTATGACTGAAAGGATGTAAGATATTTCGACAACGGCATACTGAGGTCTATATTGGGGTCTTGCATACGCCTTAATACAGGTCTTGTAGAAGACTGTCAACATCTGGTTTAGGTCCTAACAGACCTCAATAATGGACTCTCAAGCTTCCAAGAGGACTTGATACCTCGTAAGTTCTCGTAAGGTACCGTACGAATCCATCAAGCGTCACATGCTCCGTATGAAAATTAATTGCTGTTAAAGTAAAATATCAATGAACGAAACATTAAACCGGGTGTATCCTGGGATGATGGTTGACATCGATAAATCGACTTGTTTTATAACACACACGACGCTATTATCTGTTTGAGGTCTGACACCTACTGTTTCTTTTAATACGTCTTAAAACGTATCGTTATTTCATACGATTCGAATAAGAGCAGTTTGACTTTGTTCGCAGTTGCGAATAGCGCCATGTCGTCCTCAACATTTAAAACACATTGTGATTTGATACAGAAACTATCATAACTGAAGTGGTTTCTGTCTTTTCTCTATATTGGTCTGTTCGTTTTAGGTGATACTAATGTGGAGCTGACTCTAGGCAGAACTCCAAAACTTAAAAGGCCATTAAATCCTTTCGTTGGTTCATGTCCAGATTGTGCATCTAGCAAGAAATCGAGCTCAAGTACTTTTGGCAGGAATTTAAGAGGGAAGGAACCAGATGTCGTAATCAACTTTAATTTGAAACAGTAAAATTAAAAAACCGTTGTTTAAGGCGCATATTCACGTACGTTTATCGATTAACATTTATTGTGTGATTGCGTAGTGTAGAGAAGGATGTAATTTAGATATTTACCTATATATCAAATAGAAGCTAAAACAATAGGCTGGGCCCAGCTAATATTGTATAATTAACCAAAGCATTGCGGTAATTAATAATAGTAAAAATAATAAGCAAATTCTAGAATGGATCAGCAAATACAGTCATATTAAAGGCGGCATTTGTCAACGCTAACCTCACAGGATGAGAAGAGAAGCACTGCTTGTGAAAAGTCGATGATCTTATGGGGTTCTCCTGCCTTTAAAAGCAAAACTTCCATATGACGCGCTGTGATTCTAATATATTGAATGCATGTATGTATGGGTATATAAGAAAAAATAGGTATTACCATGTGGTCCGAAGAGATGCAAAAACAGCTGTACATTTTACAACTCCCGGTCGGATAGATAGGTATACGTGAATACGTATGATCATATGTGTGAGTCATGTTCGGTCAGTTACCATACTCGTAACGTTGACATAACCTTTATTTATTGGTTTAGGTAAAGTGTCACATGCTTTGTAGGGCCACTATACGTAGTGACGAGTATGATGTTCTTGCAAAATGTTTTTGACAGATTTACACCTATGCTGTCCTCCTACATGTAGGTGTATGGGCTAATTTACAACATAACAAATACGATGAACCTAAGAAACAATTGTATGTCACATATATGCTCTATATGAATCGAACCAGTTGACTTGGTAGGTAATACCAGTGGGTACCTACCCTCCTCCACATTTGCGCCCTCGCTTCGAAAGTTTATCTCCGCTAAATCGCAGGGTGACAACTGGCTGTACCTAGTATTCGCCGCCCAGGAAATACGCCAGTATAGCAGTACTTGTACCGTTTATCGTCGTGCAGATTCATAATTGGAACGTCGGTCCCTGTGTATCCGCGTGTTGCCATGTATTGTTTCGAAAGCAAACACTTCGATTGATACACGGTTGAGTATGTATGTTTGAAGCGGTAATAAGCGCATCCTTCTCCGGTCTGGAGAGAAGTGTGCTATGCCTGCAAATATTCTCGATTTTAGTTGTAACGGTCAAAATAGTTGTTTCGTTGTTTCTCATGAAAGAAGTCATTTTGTTGGCTGTAGCGTACAAGGTGCAAAACTCGTATCAACTACGATTGCGGTCATAAGTAGCGTGCGAGCATAGACAGACTTCGTTTCGTGATGGGAGCCAGCCGTCTGATAAAATGTCTAACGGCGATGCCCAATGTAAAATTCGAAACATAGAGGTGATGAGCGGCCGCCACATGGACTGGACGTTGCTAACTAACTTCAAAGCTGTATCCATTATAGTGAGGCTTTAATTCTGTTGTATAACAGCATATTGCTTCTCTATCATGTCATCTTTAGTTCGATCGAATTCTCTGCAGGTGAGTTTTGTACGTTTCCCCCTGTAGTTGAATGTCCATGATACCCACAGATTTTAGAAAAACAAGTGGTTTCGAAACGCCGTTTTGCTTGTGCATAGTGGTTCGTAACGTCTAGACAGTTAATCAGCAGACGGAACAAATATGTTCCTCTGAGAGCTGGTGAGGCTAATGTTTTGAGAAGAAGGGCACAGAGAAATCGACGCAAAGGTTTGTTCGCCGTTCAACCTACCGAGGATACGGAAACACGGCAAGGTCGACCGCGCTGTCTGTGCAGATGTAACATCTATTGTGATGCCCAAGTAAAAGTAAAATGCTCGTATATATTAACAGTGAGAAATTTTTCTATATTTAGTTTTCTCTAACCCGTCAAGTATGGTTCCTGAATCAAATTTGCACAGAGTTTCTGACACCTGTATATTGTAGTTCTGTTGGTATCGTATGAAGTTAGGCAGGTCATTGTGTGGTGATCAAAAGGTCGACCGCATTATACGTCCTCGGGAAAGACTTCAATGCGGTTTCTTACGAGGTCCACTGTGCTCCGGATGCGTTAAAACCCCGTTTAATTTTGTTCTTCCGATATAGCATGGACGAGCGTAATGAGTAAGAGTGATGAACTGGCAGGTTATAGAACGCTCGAATATATCAAGTTTGCGGTGACAAACGTTAAATAATCACAAATGACGTGTTTCGCAGGAAAGCCTTTGATTACTAAAATGATAGGTTTTTTTAAGTTGTTCTGCGTGTTCCACTTCATACTCTTGAGAAATGTCGATGTGTTTCTATGGGTATAAGTTCAGCCTAGATAAGATGATCACCAGGTAAAAGATTATGTAGCAATTATTTCCTTTTCGAGTTTTTGATCATTTTGAAATTGAGAATCGACGCAATGTTACTAGGGCAAACGAAACTGCATATGATTTCAGTAAAACATGACGGATCGCTTAAAGTCGAAGCGCCACTTTATTGCAAAGATGACCTGATGGATGAATGAATTGAGTGGCAAATACAGTCACATCGTATTCGCCTATTTCACCTATTTCATTTTACTTGAAAGGTCTTTCAAAGGTTCAAGATTCAGAGATCCTTTGTTCTTGATGGTATAATGTAGCTATGAAATCCGACCATTGTCCGTACGTAGAATTGCACTGTACAAGTGAATTGAAATAGCGCAAACAGTTTTGGCTTAGAAAACCTTGATTTACTGATACATTTGTTAAGTATATACATGAAAATTAGCTCATCCAAATTAGCGACGCTCCGGATTTAGCATCGAGAAATCATTTTTTGGTGACTTAACTACCGCTGCAGCAGCGAATAAGGACCGGTGTTAACTGTATGAAAAATATGTATTGAAAAATTGAGAGCATATCGGCAAAGTTAATGGAATATATTACTGTTATGGAGTAATCTAATAATATTAATAATAAATAAAGATAATAAAAACTGACTTATGACTGAGATATATTTAGAAATAGAAATAGAGATTAGGTCAAAAACAAAGTACTCAAAACAAAGTGGTACAAAAGTACCAGCGTAGCGGGCTAAATGGGGCTTGTCTCGTTTTGATGACTGAACCATACTAATAACTAGTATAAATCTTGATAGAACTAATGCTAACCAATACAACCAACTGTTGTTGATATCTCGGATCAAAATAAACCGGAAAAACAATGTCTTGACGCATATCTCACGCACTATCAATTAATTGGCCCGAGGTATATGACGACCATAGATTAGGCTTTTTAGGCTACTATGGCCCAAAAGCGTATCAACGTATATGAATTCGCTGCTCACAGTCATCAGCGCATCACTGATTGTTGTGACTGAACATTGTAATCATTTAGGCATGTTCAAAGATTAAAGCAATGGAATACGCCCTTAAATATCAGTTCTGCGGCCGAAGTGAACAATGACGAGCTGACCATAAGGAAAAAAGTACTGTGACGGTAGTTGTCCAAAGACCACACCGTAACGCTATAGGTTGGCTAAACTGGTATTATTTTACACAGTGTCATATATATGATGTCAAGTTATGTGTACTTCAAAATACATGCGTACGAACAATCTATCTGCAGCTAAATAACTCACGTAAATAAATAAAGCTAAATAATTCACGTAGGTAAGTATATATAAAGTGAATAAGAAGCAGATAGGTGTAAGATTATGTGTTACCATCTGGTAAGCTTTCTTTTCACCGTCAATGTAGCATTGCATTGCATTGTGTTGTGCTTCCACAGAAAGCCGGAAGCCTTTTGACAAGGAGATCTCTAGAAATTCGATGAATGAGAGGGTAACCGTTATTCGATATGATGGTGTCGTCATAATTCAAGGATAGATCTACTATGCTACGAAGTATTTTAACAACAGCAGTGTGGAACTTTGTCCCTCGCTTAAAAGACAAAAGGACAAACTGCACAAACAGCGTTTTTTGGTGACTCCAATACGCGGTATAAGTAAACAATAATTATAGGTTATTTGTGTCTTACGAACAAGTTGTCTTTGTTAAATCGATGACTGTATAATGGAGCTACATAATTGTTTGACCTGAGTTGTTGAACCTTGCCGTATGTTTTACATAGAACTATAATAGCGACTTATTGTTAATGTCGTTAACAGGTAGTGTCTTACTGTACATAAACATTCGTAGCACGATCAACTAGAAAATATTATTTTAATTAACGTTATTAACGTAAGTAAAATACTTTACCATTTTAGCTTAAGTCGGTTTTAGCTTCACAAAGCAAAATGAAAAAATCGGCAGACAAATGGGTTTGCTATCAAACCATGCATTGAAGAATTAGCAAAAGAGACAGACTTTGTGTCCGTTGTGTCAATTGCATGCGCTTAGCGCTACCGCTGCCGTTAGTATTGCTATATCTAGGTTACATGAGACCTTCAAACGGCTCAGCCCTTCGAACTTATTTGATCGTTCGACTACTATTGACCCTCGGGGAAGTACCAACAACTATTAGTATACAAACACATATTAGTACGGATGATTTGCAAACCACGACATAGCTTCAAAATACGAATGGAGAAGACTTCTACAGTACAAGATCTCGACATATCCGTTGATTCTTTGAGTATCGATTATTTGTCTCTAACAGAACACCAATCAATAGTATTCCATTGTATTAGGTCGTTCTGAACGAACTCCGAAAATGTAAACCTCTTACATTTCTTCACAAGCATAGCTCGTCAATTTTTTTAATTGAGGTATGTATCGCTATTATTTACGATCTTCTGCCATTTGAATGGCATCATATTCATTTTGCAGCTGTAGAAGCCTGGGGTATAAAAGTGTACAAAGTGCCAAAAAGAAAAATTATAGAAAAGGAATTTCTCCATCTAAGACGCAACGAATTTTTTTAAAAAATGGTATCATGTGAATGATACCATTTTAGATACCTGATAATGGTGGATGACACGGCTTAGAATTACAGCTCCCCTGTTTTTTATTAATACGAATTTGGCGACGTAACGTCTACCGTTGTCGGGCAACAGTGAAGGTACAATTTTGTTCAGTAGTTCTACTGGGCTATTGGATAGTTTGTTCATTGTCTTCTACAGCTGTTAGTTTCAACAATTGTACTTCAAACTTTAGCCGTAATGGGTGAATTAAAACCTAGACCCGCTTGCGCTAGATCAAGTGGACGTTATATGCTATTGCAACTGTACGTTTCTCTTAAAGTTAGCTTCCGCGGGTTAATTCGCCTCCACCTGCTGATGGAACCATCTGCTATTATCGCAGAACATAGATTTTTTTCGCATACTATGTTCTGATGTAAGAATGAGTCACCGATATAGCGTGACGTAAAAAGGTAGCAAATGCCCCTACGTCTTTGTTTTTTGCCTAATATTAAGCAATTTGCCGAATACAAGCGCTATTATTTTTTACCAGAAAATACTCTGCTCAGAGTTACAACGACTAATGGTGACATTGCGTGTACTGATCTGGTCTCGTCGCTGTCCTACTGGTATTACGCATTAGGTATGTGGCATGGTACTGTCATCGGCATCTTTATTAAGATCAGTTTGTTTAAATGAATTCAGCCTTAGAGCTTGTATTTTTGAGAAAAATTGAGCTTTGAATCTTAATACGGTGAGCTGATTCTATAGCTCAAAGATCGAACTTGGAACTCGCTCGCTAATAGCCTGAGAGACCATAATCAAATAAACGATCGTAAATTCTAAACAGCATAAATACATATAGAAAATAACAAAAGGTATCGCAAAAAGCGTCGAGTGATTACATATAATAATGTTACTTATACCGAGATCAACGTTTTCCGGGTTTTATAAAAGGCGATTAAATATAAATTGCTTCCTTCTTTTTGCCACGGACGCTTCACATGTGTATGAACTTGAGTTTCTAGCGTTTCATCTTTTTTTAAATGGCACCAGATTGCATGTAAACGCCCCGAAATTTTTCATCTGACCAGAGAAGCCTATTAACGCAAACGAGCGTTTGAAGTTATCATGTTATAAATGTTCGTGCCATACCAGGCGCTCATTTTATATAAGCGACCTTGCTTTTGTTGATTTCGGCTCGGTTTTTCATGATAGAAAGCTCTCTACTTATGTCTCTTTCGCTTAGTAATATATGCTCTTACTAATATAACAATCTTCAATCAAGTAAATTCCGAGCCAGTAGAACTCGTTGTATTATATAATCGTGTAGAACAGCGTATGATCGACGATTTTCCTATTGTTCAGTGACCGAACGAGCGATATTGACCTTGTGATTACTCTGTCGCTTTATGCTCCGGCAAACGTATTTTTTCGGTTGAGCGGGCGTCAAGCGGAAAGCCGTACGGCACTTCAATAACCCATCACGCAGTTTCAGTCCGTTCAGATTAGCGGCAAGTAACAGCTACATACACGTTCTCCGTTCGTTCCTTCATTCCGCACCCAGGTGGGCCACTTAGCCAGTTAAGCATACAATAACGCATGGTCATCGTCGCGAGTATTGTTGTGTTCTGATTGCTCTCAGTGGGACTTTTCTCATCAAGGCACCGGCTCGCGGTCTGTCGGGTTAGCTGACGGAATGATAATGCTGATCGTGACAAGAACGCAATGTGATCATTTTGTGTTATCATTTGCGTAGCTAGGATAGCGTAATCGTCAAAATAGATCACTCTCTGTATGCATGGAAATGCCATTTACTGCTTCTATACGTTGTCTCTTCTAATCAATGAAGGCAATAGTGCTAATCGTAAGGACAGCTGGCAAATAAAAGCTATTCCGCATTTCAATGTACACGGAGGCTACAGACGAAAATACAATGGTTTTGCAATGTATTTTTTTTTTATTAAACATGATCTTGCTACTAGCGTTGGCGGTTAAAGACAGTCAAAATTAAGGCGGCATAGAAAGACATGAAAGTTGACAAAACAAAAGTTTAGGGAAAAATGAGGAATCGACAAAACATTAAGAAGGAGATCAAGTAATAACTGGAAAAAAATATACATGTTTGACGCTATGATGTAAATATTCTTCAACATGCTCTTGAGAACGGAAAGTTTTCACCTATGGGGCGTTCATGTCATAAAGTATATAGCAGAGGGCGCTTTCAACTTTTAGGTCATTTTGAAGAACTATGCGTTCTATGTTTAGAGTATGTTGTTTTTTTTAAAGAAGTAGATTATTATTGAATATATAATAGCCTTGTTCATCTTTCATGGTACATATCCAACACATAACAGAACATATATATGAGGAACGGGGTATCGGCGGGGAAATAGATAGTCGGTTTCTTCCCGTTCTATGTAGACGCAGAGTCCGTTTGATTAGTTCAAGATTCCCTTCGGTAAAGTCCCAAATTGTTCCTATAGGCTGCTACTAGAGTCCATTTGAGATCGAAGAAACTGAACGCTGTTATGCGAAAGATGTGATGTAAGGTTCTGATTGCACAAGACGAGTCCAACACTCTTCTGCATCCTTCTGTCATGCGTGAGGTGAAACTGTGGCCATTAAAAGAGACGAAGTGTCCAGGATACAGGAGTCTGTTAACGAACCGAAGAAAAGAATAGGGTAGAGGCGATAGGTAATCGCGATTATGCCTTTCTTTCTAAATTTTACGGCCTCCGTTTTATCTGCATTGATCGTTAATCGCAGTTCAGTTATTACCATATGAAGCCTAGTGAGAACCTGTTGTATTTGAAATCTTCTAGAAATCTAGACTACCAGGTTATCCGCACAGAAGATAGCTTGGACCTGGTTCCGTCGGCCATTTATTCTTCAGTAACATCTTCAAGTAAAACTAACATTAACATTCTAGGCCAGGTTAGACGTTCGAAAGGAGGAAAGCAATTCTACTACTCCGATATTAATACTTGTTCTTCTATAGGATCGTAGCCAGCAGAGCTAACATCTTCCTTTGTGCACCCATGTACGCCAAGGTATGCAGAATCAGATGTCTAGATGCAAAGTCTAATACGGCCTTCAAATGACCAAACATTACGTATAGAGGGCTCACTGGATCGTTGAGTGCTTTTTCAAAGTTAGCTATTGTTGTTGACAGTTTATCCAACATTCAGTCGATCCATGACGTACTAACCATTTGAGTTGCTGCCGCTCTGCCTATCTTACGTGGAAACTTTCTAACTTATTTTGGTATTTCTTCTGTTCTGTGGCGTAAATATTTGGCAGACTGTCTCGAGCGCTGCGGCCAGAGGGTAACTAGACTGGAAGTGTTCTGGGCTTTTCGGGTAAGCCGACAGGTATTATCGGACGAGGGTCTGTTTTTTCGGTCGGGTGAACGGCCAAATGATCTGACCGAAATGTCGCGCGGAGCTCTTTGTGTTGATGATATCCGAATGTTCGCTTCAAAAGATTTTCTAAGGCTACATAGAAGGAATTGGTTTTGACCTACAGAGTTGTCGTATGTAACCGTTTTCTTTTAACAAATATTTTTTTCCATGGAAAGGAAATTTGTCTTAAGTAATATTCATTGCAAGCAAAACAATAACCCATCTTCCCGCGTATACTTCAAAAATCGGTACCGAACCCAATTGAGTTGATTGTCTAGCAACTAGAGTCCACGACCTGGTTTCGAGGCCCTGATGTGTTATTTGAGTTGAATCTCAGCGAGAGTTTAAGTTACTAACTTTGCTTATGGGTAAAATCGTGGGAAGCAACAACGCTTCCAGACTGTTACTGACCTTCTCTATTAATACGTATGTCGACTCTGGCTCAGAGGGCGGACATAGGCTGCTACGATGAAGATGTGTGGGCTGCGGAATGTGATAATGTTATCTTCAATGAATCGTGGAGAAAGGTCACCTACTCTATAATTATGCAGAATAGCAACGCCTTCACTGGTACGTCTTGAGCAACTATTTTTTAGTGCTGGGCGGTTTACGATGTAGAAGTTGGGAGATTAAGATTTCCCTTTAGCCCGTTACAGGTTTCCGTTAGCACGAGTATATCAGCACCCCCTCAGACCATTTCCTTAAAGAGTGCTAATGTTGTAGCACCCTCGCAATTCCACTGGGCGATTTTCAGCGTCCCGGTGGAGTCAAGCCCAGTTGAATACTCCGAGATCGGTCCTTGGTGCAGTTGTAGTGCCGAGGCTTACGAGGGCCGCTGCGTCCTGAGAGCGCCTTATAAGGGGCCACCGCTATAAGGATCGTTGGCACTCAAGGCAAAAGGGGGTTCGGATCCGTTGATACGACGCTAGGTATAATATGTAAACGAAGATCCTTAGATGCAGCTCGATGTAGTCGCTGACCGTTTTCCATGAAGCTGACTTGGCTGTTCGGCCGCCTCGTCCTTCCTAACTGATGCTTCCTTGAGCCACCGTTGATTCTAGTCTGTTGATCACCTTCTAAGTTTTTAATTTGCTTAACCTTCCTAATCTTTATGTCTAAAAAAATTGATCTTCCTTACAGTGTTAAAGCCATTCTTTGTCGCTACCTTGCGTTGATAGGCCACATCTAACAACTGGGCGTTGAGTGATGGAGCACGATCGAAAAGGTGGTATCTTTTTGACCACCTTCTGCGCCAAAATATCGCCCGACGTTTTGTAAGCCTGATTGAACAGAGGAGTGTATACGATTTCGGGCCAGGAATAGACCAAATTCCATACATTCGTGATACCCTGTCCGCATAAATACCGCTACGTAGCCACTTAGGTATCTGTGTATTTGTCAGCCTGACCGCCACACACCTTATATCTATTACTGGGGCTTTGCATACAGCCACTGGCATTTTTTTGGGCCGCAATTTGGGACCGCAACAGAAACCAACCCAACGGGCTCATTTATTTGGTCACTAATCAAAAGTACTGTTTTCTTCGGTAGGCGGAAAGCGGATATAAAGCAGGCAAACGCTCGGAGAAGTCGACCGGTCCGCTATCTGTTGTTAAGTTTGATTGCATGTGCTTCCCTTTTGAATACGTAGCAGTATGTGTATATGTATATAATGGTACTAATCTATACGAAAGTAGCAAAAACCTTTTGCGCACGCCATCAAGAGACAGTAGGCTTCGATACGTCACTATAATTCATAATAATAACACAGTAGAGATTAGATACTACCTGTGTTGTATAGGTGCCTTCAAGTGATAGCGCGAGTGCAAGTTTGGACATGCTAACAAAAATTAATAAGCTATAGGAGCAACAAGGATATATGTGTGTATGCGTACCTAGGTATTACACTGCGACGCTTCCCGCAGGCTTTGAACCTACTGAACCTATTATATAGATTACCTATATAGATAAAAGGCTAGTATTCCTAGTAATACTGGTGTCGACGAATAGCGATAAGCTGTTTCCTAAAAACTGTAACCTAATAGGATCTTCCACAAACGCAGTTTAAATAGCTTGTCATGCAACACACGTTAAGGATACATTTGTACATTTAATCACGTATCCGCGCAGACGATGCTGTTAGTTACCTTCGTTTGTTTAGGCTGTGGTGTGGCGCTGTTTTTAAATGTAAGGCGCGAAAAAGAAGTTTCTGGCTTTGGTTTACGCTTAACCAAGTGCGCAGAATGCTCTATAAAAAAGAACTCGCAGATTTAGGCTTTTGGTTGTTTGGAGAAATAGATACGTATGTATGCTAGGGGCATCAAAGATATATGTCACTTATAGTTGAAATTTGGCTTTGTTTTTTTTTCAGTTTTTCGTTAACAAAGTCTAAGTGCTGCTACTTCAGGTTCCGATAACGATACAGCTGTGTAAATGGAGAAAGGTATACACCTATATCTGCAGCCCGTAGCACCTGAAATGGAACTTACAAGGCATACACCTCCTTCTCAATAACAATAAAAGGACGCGCCAGGTTACTTTTGCATTTGTGAAGTCATCTATTTGAGATTACATTGATACGCTCGGTGAGAATGCAGTCGATCAGTTAGGTAGAGAGACATAATCATCTCGGAGTTGTTAGCTGCGTAACAGATTCAGTTGTCACTCCTCTCGTAGGAACAAACTGTAAAAATCTGGGAAAAAGTGAATAACAGCAGTGGACGTACCTACATCTTATAACCCGATCCTATAATTCGAAACCGCTATTTATATTTCCGTTTTTGCTAAACGTTGTCTCGTTAGTATCGGCATTGCTAGCTTGGTATTTTGGCCGTTGCAGCGTTCTGGTAGGTTTTGCTAATAATGATGGATTCTAATGATCTAAGAGAACTGAAGTCCATAATAGCTTATATTTTTGGAACGACCAGCATGAATCTACGAAACTAGCTTCGTGTATCATATGTTTGCGGATGCAATTATGCCAAGATATATTTATTTTATGAGATTTGCGTATGTTTCTCCGTTTACCGGTCGCTGTCTTTCACCTCGAATATCTGCCTCGGACGACCTTTTTCAGGTTAGCATTGAGGGTGCTCTGCCTTTTCCTTTCACATCCATACAAACATGCACAGAGACTTACACAAACGGAGGTTACAATGCGCGTTTAGTGCAAGCTAAATTTGTTCGCCGTATGAAAAGGCATATTCTTATTGCTGATCCAATAAAATTCAGTAGGTCTCGTTTTTTCTGAATAGGCGAGCTCATGACACTGCCATAGAATGAAGTATACGTTCGACTCTCCTGAGTGGATATACGTATGGATGTCTCCGTAACCGTACGCTATGTGCGTATATTTGAATGTGATCTATGCATAACTGTAAAGGCAAAGTATATATTTCATCTTTACTGAACAGCAGAGATATGGGAGAGAACAAATAGAATTTGTCCATACAATCGAAAAATGACTGTCAGCGTTGAGCCGGACAGTAACGTGCACTTACGTCGTTTGGTTGGGAGCGTGTCATGTCTTTCGAATCAAGATTGTTAGCTAGAGACGTGTTGCGTCAACGGGATTTTCTCCTCTCCACTATGGTCTCGCAGTGGTAGCCAGCCCTTCTCGAAGAAGGAAAATCTCCAGCCACTCTAGAGACGGAGATGGCTATCCACTTCGGAATTACAGGTATTCAAAGCTGTCAAGAATCAGTGTCGCTTACTAGTGTCACACGGTGTATCGTAGGTAAAATCATTATCGCGTAGCGTTGCAAGAGCACGACAATTTTGTATAAAATAAAAATCAATAACTTTGTGCAAGGCTAACTCACCATATACCAACCCAGGTTTTTAGGATTCGTTACCTGGACGCTTTTAGAGACGCTCACCGTACGTCTAAAGACCGATTGACTTCTGTCGGTCGAAGCACGACCTACAATTTGGAATCAGTTAGCCACCTTTGTTTCATTCTGGATTTCAGAAAAGCCTCGGTAACCGATTCGTAATGATGGAGATGCTCTACAGACACGGGGTGGTCGCCCTTCAATTACTACAGAAGCAGTACGTATGTTATTAATAATAACATTATATTAAATATCTTTCTGATTTTTCATACTTTTTTCGAGTAGTTACAGATTGACTAGATCCATATTTTACAAGTCTGTGCTTGTAAATAGGCCACACTGATTTTGGATCATGGTCGCAATTTTTCCCTGGAATCAAACAGCTTAATGGATTGATTGATACTTGTTTGTAAGAGCTGAAATTATTCTGTCTGGCTCTTGAAATTGAGCATATAAATGTTATGTTTAATATCCTGTGTTATCTACGATGAGCACACTTTGTAAAGTATCTGTGTTACTCGGCTTTTATATCTTCAACTTCCATTTGATTACACTGGTGAATAGCAAGCTGTGATTATGCATGATGCCTAATGTATTGGTCGTGAACTTCTTCGGTTGGAACCAGTGACGTACCGTTTTTTTTTTTGTTTTGGGAGTCAGTTAACACTCGAGGCTTTACTTGCAGTTCCCAAGTATAAAATCGGTAGCGGAAGACTACCACAAGATTTACAAATGTTGTTCGCAGTTGCATGCTTTATAAGCTGAGGCTCTGTTCTAACCTGTCTCCGAGAGATCGGTATTGCTAAAACTATCTGACGCTGCCTCGACTGTTGCGAAGCTATCCAGGTGTGGGTGTAAGCGTGTTGTTTGTTTGATTGTTTTGTTTGTAGAAACTGTTTGGTTTATGCTGCTAGATAAAGTACAGCGGCATTTTAAGTTCAGTCAATTTACGATTAGTTTCTACTTCCATAAGATAATATACAATTGCTCGAATCCTGTTTTCTTCTTTGACATGTACCGTCCTGAGTTCTCATTCAGCAGTTCGATCTAATTAAAACATTTGTAATCTTATAAGGGAGACGATATGTGAGTAAGCCCCTTGCAGTTCATTGATCATGTTTTATATTGTGATTCTAAGCAACGTTGTTATGAAAATGAGACTTTTAGATGTAGGTATGAAAGTCTTTGTGGAAGCTCAGCTGCGAGTATCTTAAACGCAATGCATTTGAAACTTATTTTTCAGGCACCTGGTGTATATTTAATGTAATTTAGTTGCAGGGTGTGCCAATTGTAGTATAGTTATATGCAGAAAAAAATCGATGGATGAACTCCGGGCAACCATTATGCAAAACTAATTTTTCAAAACGTTGCATTATGATTGCCTTACCCCGCTACGTCACCGGCTAAAGCGCTATAGGGCGTTACCATATCGAAAACACCAGCAGTTCTGACAATAACTTACACGACAGACTTAGATTTTACTTTTGTGTAACGACGATAAATTTTAAGTTGCAATGGACCCATATGAAGACAATGATAACAGGGATATTTATGTGTAGTGCTCGTAACATGCTTTGTTAAACTTCCAAATTACATGTTTTATTGTTGCATGTGTATGTTCAATGCCACAAATTTTTCCAACCACATGTGGTAAGCTGAAGTTTGTATTGTAGAAATTATCCTTGTTGTCCTTGGAGAAATTTCACTGAAGTTATCTAAACGGCTTTAGGTTTTTCCTATATTGTACGCCTCGCGATGCTTATGAACGTACCTTTTACACACAGAACAGCTGTATTCAGGCAAGATTCACGCATGCATGACAACGCATTACAGCCAAGAAAGTTTTTGTCGTCAGAAACGGGTGCAAGTGATTCGAATACTATTCGGTTCTATGTCAAACCATTGATCGTCCTCCGTAATGGAACTTCTTTAATGAACTCTGCACTTTGAACGACAAGGCTCTTGCTATATCTACTCTATCTCGAGCACAAATTGCTCAGCAGTGTTTATCGTACATTCGAACTTGGGTTGACCACGACGAAACCATACGACTCACTACTGATTTCGCGCGTGAAGACATGATGCGCTCTTTGATTAGATATATTGCTACCTGTTCCTATGGCTAAATAATAACAGCGAACAAAGTTTATCGCCACTGGCCTACATATAGTATATAACTATAGTCTAGCTGGTATCCTCAGTTAGTGTAGGAAATTACGCACGAAAAGACTAACCATTCAGATAAGGGTCGATATCGCTATGTCTTGACTAGAGAGAGGACGACCTGTAGTTACTCTTCGCGCCTGCTTACTTTAGACATCCAGAACTAGAGATCTGCTAACATTCTAATTAATCGAGCGCGGCAAAAATACAATGTATCGTTTTTCCTGTGGGACACGGCGCTCCGAAGATGCAAAGCTTGTTTGGGCATATAGCTCTATGCGCCGCTGCAAATTACTCCAGTGGCTGTAAACAATGTAAATATGTGCAATCCTCTTAGGTGACACACTTACGGACATGTTTGGCTCTATCGAAAGAAAAGCTAATCTATACCCACTTCGTAATTTTTTATTATTACCCAATTTTATATTATTTTTCCTGAGTGTGAGATATGCGCGTAGCTCAATTCGGACCGGTTCCCATCGGCCTTCACTGAAGCCTTTGTTTGGTCAAGTAAATAATCAATATTTGCAGACTGTGATTTTAGCGAATGGGATTTTAGCGCGCTCACATATAAAACCAAGGAGTTGGTAGGTTGGACAGGAGTTCACGGAACCTTTAGCATGCAAAGGTTACGATTCCTTAAGTGAACATGTCCTATTAACGAGCATCGCGTCTGCTGTACAGATATTGGTCAACGTTGGCAAAGAAGCAGGCAGGCCTATTTCTAAACTAGGTTATACGTTTGATTGAAATTTTCATCAGTTTGAATATTTGTATGCATTATGGGAGTAGGCGATATCTCCTGCACAAAAGGTTAATAATACACTGTTTTTGATAGCTGATATAACATAATGTCAACCTAAATTCGTCGTAGACAGATCTCATCTATATATAATAGTATTAAAATCGTCATCGATGCTTGTTGCTTTTTTTCCTATGAGATTATAAAATATGATTGGTTACAATGAAAATTAGCCTGGAACTCACTAAAATGGGACGACAATGACATAGAAGATGATGACATAACACGAAATTATTTGAGGCCATTGAAGGTCTATTACAGAGAAAATATCCCGTTATTTTTATACTAGACTTCCGGGTCCTTCCATGAATTAGGACCATTCTATCTAACTTATCTGTGAGGCGTCTACCAAGTTACCGATTGCTACCGATGTCGAAGGTTGTAAGACAGAATGGAAGACCTGTCGACTCTCAGTTACGTTGTAAGACTGGTAAAGGCAGTAAGGAGCGTTTTGGTCTACGTGTCAGGGGGTCAGTGAGGGCCTTGATAGTTCGGCCTTCATTAGAGAGGGAGGGAAAGCCAGCATTTTGAGGTAATCGAAACAAGCCGGTAATCAGTAAAACGTATCCGATACTGAGTCAAAAAAGATATCCAAAAAGCACAAGTTTAGTTTATTACCATTATTGCCGTACAGTACGAAGCTTACAAAAACAAGCCGATTTCCGTAAAGATACATAACATTCTAATAAGATAGAAATTTCAAATGTAACAGAAAAGGGTAAAGTGTAATGCGTACAATAAAAAAGCTTGGTCGTACATATAGGATGGGCGAAACTTGGACAACTACATGAAACATATTTCACTCAGAAATCCCAATAGTCATAATCGTTTTAGACTCGCCAACTCGACCTACATATTTATAGCAAAAGTATATGGTTAACTTGCTTAATATTGCCCCACACCGCTCTTATTATGCTTTGAAATGACACTTTCCATTTGAATTACCTTAGCAGTACACTCGTTCATCATACTGAGGACCGATCTCTATAATTTTCCGTTTTTTCATTTTGTTTACTTATAATTTCAAAAGTGCCCGATGCTATTAATACTGTCAGAACTATTGTGAAGAGATCATGTTCTACAGCGTTTTTTTATTGTGATCCTATCTCGTTGTGTCGTTATGTTGAAATTGCGAGCACCGTCGGTCCAGCTGCTTAATCTCATCCCAGACTTCATCCGAAGCGCTCTTTTGGTCAAGCATGCAACGTTCTTGATTCGTTTTACTCATGAAGACAGATTGCCTGCAAAGTGACGTCCGTGCTTATGCGGCTACTACCCTCTCTGTCCACAGAGCGCGGCCATTGCGGTGCTAGTTTTTGTCGTTATCGTCATTGTTACGGCAGCCATGATTGATATCATACGCATTCTTAAATATCACTGGACAATTAATTTAATTGAAAATGAATTTGATGAAACGTTTGCATAGCTAGCAAAACGTTGCATGAGCGTCCTTTCCTTTTCAACGAAAGCTAATTACCTGCTTCGTTATAAGGGAATACGGTGTGCAAAGCCTGTCGTCACAGTAGCTTTCCGCTGGTATCACTGGTAGTTCGGTAAACGTCACGATGGCACTGATCATGTTAGTGTATTGGCGTAAAAGCGTAAGTGCTTTCAGCACAGGCCGCAGGCATTCGCTTTCCATCCCAAATTGACCGCGGTGGCGCTGGTGGCTCAATTTGAGAACCCACGAACGATCGGCTTGAAAATGAGCCGGTCCTTTCCCGGTACGTTTTTTTTTGTTATTTGGTAAGTTCCATTGATTTCTAGGAATAGCACGATTGTTTCTCGCCGAGAGAACCTAAATGATGCAATTTCATGTGGGTGACACTATTGCTATTGTGCTGGTAAAGCTAGTGAGACGAGAGATAGAGAGGTAAAAATAGGGGTGTGTTACGGGAGATAACTGTCGAGTGCTAAAGTTGTTAAGATTGTAACTGCGGGAGAACGCAGAGGTCGAAAAGAGAAAGAAAAACACAGCTAGTTGAATAAAATAGGGGCTGATTTTTGGGCGCGCTTACCTGTAACAGATACGAAATGGTTTTACGTAGCTAGCAACCTTTTTCAATAGAAATAACCACAAATATCATGCTAAACTATGTTTATTCACAGTGTTAAACTCATGGCGTATGGCCAAACGCATAACGCACCGTATCGCTGCCATTTCTATTGCTAAGGTTGCTCAGCACGTTTTATCAAGTAAGTCAGTGAATTCAAAGACAAAGTACTTGTACGAGAGTCCCAAAAGATTGTTGACCCAGGCTTGCTATTGGCGTATACAGTACGTGTCAACAGAACGTCGACTGGTCTAAATCTAATAAAATGAGCTATTTTTGGCTAGAACGAAATTTATTGAATACTGCCTCGAATACCTCAGAAATATAGACATATCCATCCATCATACTGCACGTAAGCATCTTTAATTTAACGCGTACTTTCGACATTTGCTAACAAAATAAGATATTCCCCTTTTTGGTGTGAAAAGAGTACCGCCGATCATAGCACTTGAATCTGCAGTATTCTGATTCAAAGCTAAGGCGCCTAACCTATTTAGGAGCACGAAACACAGAAACCTGCCAGCATGAATCACAACTGGATTCAAGGAAAGAACAAAAAAAAAAAATTGCAAAATACACCGCTGCAGCACGGCAGCTAGTGACTCACATCCCAATATAATCGTGTCAACATATACGGGGTTCGCTAAGATAATGCTAAGCCGCCTAAGTCGAAGAGTAACTATTTTTTAACAAATGAATAGGCTACTGATATACGATTATATCCAAAAAAACGACGGACTTCAATGTTTAAGATAGTAATAGACGTCATAATACTGTTATTAATTATTTACTCGTCGAATTTATTAAACAAAATACCTTGTAATATTGTGCGCATTTAGCTACTATATACTATACTTGAGTGAAACCGATTTTCAATAGTAACCCCCGACTGGAGACAACACTCAACAATTTACGCTACTACTACAATTACTACACGCGCCATGTTCTCGAGGAAAATTTCTTTTTGATCAGATATCTTTCTTTGTATTTGTCCTGGATGTTTGAATAACTTTTCAGTGGAGAACTATATAGTAAGCAGTTTCAGCAAATTTCGGCATTCTGCGATCCATCGTACGCATTTATCATTTATCCACCGCTAGTCCACGCACTATGTCAAAACTCGGGCCGTTCGATGTTACTGGTCGTTGTTATTACCGAATGGACAAACATGCTTCTTAAATGGATCCTAATGGGAGATAGACCTTTCTGGTGGGTTCTAGAAAACATGAAGGTACGTACGCTATACGCTTGTTACCGTTTCAGAGCATTGGTCATTTACCATGATACATTTACCAAACCGCGCACGAGGAGAGCGGTTCTCAAAAATGTCCAAAGAAGTAAAACACTTCTCTAATATAAAAAAAATATTCGGCTAACTTTAAAAAGGTAATGAATAGTCATGCATCATCGGTATTGTTTCGTTTTATCAGGTGATGTTGGGATCTGTGAACGAGCATAACTATATCTTTTTCATGTACTGGCGATTTTCTACCTCTTTCCAGCCGAGATTTGAAGGAGACACGATCATCACTCAATTTCCTTTGACCTGCGAAACAGGACCGGGTTCACCTTCAGGTCACGTTGAACTTCAAGCAGCGCTCAACTACGCTATCTTGCATTTCCTGACTACCAAAGTATGATTCTACCAGACTACGTACTGTTCGGATGACCGTTACTATAATATTGCAGTTTTATGTATGGTTTATCCTGTTGACTAACAATTGTTACTCTTATTATTAGTACATTAGGATGAGTTTGCGGTTATTTTTTTCATCCTTAAAAATTGTTTGCGCAGGTTGTTTACGCCACTATATCGCGTTTTGCCCTATGTGTGCCTACATCATTGGTATACATGTACAATTCTAGGCCAGGCTGAAAAAAAGCCCGAGAATAAAGCATTATGACCAACTTGCTAATTGGCAAAGATATCAGTTAATTAACGACAATTCATGGTTGCAGGTGTTCCGAAAAGCACAGTTTCTTTCCGGTCTGATATTATGGCCTGCTTACCTTATGCTGATTATAGCCGTTAGCCTCAGTCGACTCTATATAGCTGCACATTTTCCACATCAATGCGTTCTGGGAGCGTTCATCGGTACGAGTCATTATTTTCCTATTTTACCTATTGGGTGTTCTTAAATGCTCACTGCAAATGATAATCCATCAAATATATCTCGATATTAAACGCTGAATGATCTAACAAAACGTACACCATTTTCGTCGATTTTTTAAATTCGTATTTCCGAGATATAGCTTCTAATACATATGCGTTTTTATCCAAATCAATTTGTCAGCTTTTTTCTCCAAATATATGTTCCTTATATGCAACAAACACATATAGAAGAACAATATTTTCAGCACGTAGCGACAAGTTTAAAGTATAACAAGTCCCGTGTGGTCTTAAACGCTTCACAAGATTTTTTTTATAGAATTCAATTCATTCATTCAAACTTTGTACATTGCGCCGAAGCTGTGTATTGTATGATGCTCGACACTGTCGTTAAATTCTAATTCCGAACCTGTGTTTTTATTCTCTTTGCGGACCTTTTCGTGCATGTGTGGCATTACAGGGTTTACAATCGCATACTGCCTGGTCGACATCGATACGACCAGTTGGAGACTCCGGCATTATCTCCTGCTCACCCTATCCTTGTATCTGCTAGCTGTGTTGACGAAATATTCGCTTTTATTAAGTGGTACCGACCCAATGAGAACCCTTGTCCTGGCACGCAAACATTGTGCCAACCCTGCGTGGATTCATATCGACACGGCGCCATACTTTTCAATGATGAGATACCTCGGATTCTGTGCCGGTACGTTTAGTAAATGCATGCTAATGTAATGTCAGTTATTATGGGCATACAAGCATATACATTCGATACACAAGCGTGTATCGAGGCTACCTAGATCCTGCAATGACAATAGTGTGCGACCTGTGCCAACTTATTGGCCTGCTACGCTATAAAGCATGACAACCAACAGATCCTTGTTAATTCGCACAATTTAGCATTCCGTTTTAATGAATGCCCCTAAAAATGCTGTGTCATCTAACTATCATTCGCAGGTCTTGGTTTTGCCACGAGTTGCACTCGCTATGGCATCACAAATAGGAACATCGAACTACCTATAAGGGTCGTTATGGCCGTAGCTACAGGAATTGTCGGTAAATTATCCGAGAACGTCGTCCTACCCTTCCGTAAAGCTGATCCTATACTTTTTTATTCAACAGCTTTTGCTTATCACGCTATGTTAGCATATTTATTGTTCGCCTTTGTGCCAGCTGTTGTATTGAAGATAATGGGCGGCGAACGCAAAGATGGCGAAGACCCTAGAAAGACCTTGTAGAACTAGAGATAACAGTTCCGATCGAGTCAATTCGGAAATGCTCTGCCGACGTTAACATATCGCTATATAGATTAATGGACACACGGCGGAGAGTTTCTATAGATTTAAAGTCGTGCGACAAAACTTGGAAACGCCAAAATACTTCATAGAACGCGAGTGAGAAAGGGGAGCAGAGTGAGAGAGCGATATTTCGAATGCGCGGGTCGAGTGCGTTAAGTGATAATGTTCGTTATCTGCCGAGTAAGTTTTTGTTAAAAAAGCATGCATAAGACTGTACATCAAATAAAAACAAATTTTGGCTATACGTTATGAAAACACGAGAAGAAATTGGATTGGATATTTTCAGCTGAGCGTGTGGTGTCCGAGAGATAGGATATTGGGGCTCCGGAATTGGAACAACGGTATTCATTAAAAATACAAATCAATAACCAAAAAGGAAATACGAATATGCAATTATCTGACCCATACAAAAATATAGCTAATGTCGTTAGACCCAATTGCGCTAAACGATACTCAAGGAGTAATTCTAACACCAGACCTAGAACCAGAGCTCTCTCAAGAAGTTTAACGTGACTACAGCTCTATATAGATATATAAAGTAAATAAAGTCTAATATCAATGCTATTAATGTGGACTGATGCTTGTGGTGTTGTATTTGTCAGCCGACGATGGTAGTGGTAATGCGAGTGTTGAACGTTTATTTATTTAGAAATGTTTGTTCTATAAGTTGAGCGTTTGTATATATGTTATAATGATTTATCAAGAAATCAAAATATAAATAAATGAGTTATAGTTAATGAGAAGAACTTTTTTCAAAGCAGATGCTTTGTCTTGTCTATTGTGTGAAAGGAACGTCAAAACATTGTAATTAATATGCACAAAATTCAAAGCCTCTTTCGCCTTTCAAGTTTGTTATGTGTCTGCTAAGGCCATTACTTAGGCATAGGATAAGGTTAGGTCGGTAGAGTGTTTAAAAATGTTGAAAAAATATATAGTATGATAGGAGCGTATTTAAGCGAAGGTATGACAGAATTGGGGTAATTATATTAGATAATGCAACATGTCGGTTTGATTGCGTTTGGGTCACCTGGCAGGACCCCTAATTACTCCCGTTGTGTAGCAGAATCTGGACACACACAGTTTTACATTATTTGCTATATCGGTCGCGGGCATATGCAAGGGTAAAATTCTGCGATTGTCTAGATGTACCATCATCTGGACAACTTCTCAGTAACAGTGGTTTTTATTTGTATGAAAGCCTACTTTACGTCTTTGGAACAGTTACGGTTGTTGAAAATCGACTGATTTTTAACAAAATAACAGATATTTTTCACACACTTGAATCAAAAGTAAAGAGCGGTCTACCTGAAGATTTCTTTCAAGCACAAAAGGTACGAACGGATTTGCCATTTAAATTGACTACAAATACTCGCACAGAAGGGGTTCGCTATCAGTTGGTGTCTTACATTCATATCATTCTTTCAACGCGGGCGTTATCAGCACAGCTACACGGGACTACGAACCTTCGTATACCTATTGACTAGGGAATTGTTGTACTATAGACCACAATCTCTATAAACAAAAACGCAGACCGCGCATATAACGTTGTATCGCGTGACATGCGCGCGGTTCCTTTCACTTGTTGATCTAATCACAAAAATCGCTTCCGACCACAAGGTCCTCTTCCAGTTCAATACACAGCCTTCTCTCTTACCTTCTCTCTGTTTACCGCTTCCTAGCTCTATATAATCGCGACAAACCGACCATAAAACTATCGCAGAAGTCAATATCAACATACCTACCGCCCTATAATCAGGGCAAATCCCTTTGCAATTCGGACGGCAGCAAGGAACATTAACGAATCGCTTATAGGGAATTGGTAAGGTAGGGTTTCATAGGAGAAAGTTCCTCGGCTGCCCAATCGTGCAGCTGACGCCGTTTGCTCACTCGCTGCAACGACGGGCGACAGCTGACATAAAGGACTATACGTACATAGACATGTATATATATATATATATATATATATATATAAAGAGCAAACGAGGCCGTATACTATTGCGGGCGGCCGTAGTTAATTTGCTGAGCGGTTCATTATTATTATGTCGGGGAAAGTATGGGTCGGGCACATATGCCATTGGGAATCGAACTCACACACAATGAACAAGGTGACTCGGTTTATATCTAAGATAGCCGAGCGAAATTTCCCCGCCGGGGGACGAGGGGCGTTGTCGTGGTCGTTGGACTACGGAAGTGCCGACGATATTAATACTGTGCGTAAAAGCTGAACCCATGAGTGGATTAGCTGGTAATGTTGCTCGCGGATCAATTTTACATTTTGGTCACAAATAGTTACTGGAGAATGATAAATTGTAGATTTCCCTTTTTTCTCTTGCCGTCGTATAGGTTTATCCAGCGAAAGTCTTTTCTTGTCTTTATGCATGCTGATGTGACAGATCACTCTTGGGGCACAGCACGGAGCCCTCTAGAGAGATTAGCATATTGATTTACGATACTCACTGACTCGATCCATTGACCTAATGTACATGTGTGCAGTTTCTAACCTTCGCAGAAACCTTGCCCAATTTTAGCTTCAAAACGTAAGTCTTCCAATCAGTTGAATTCGTGCCAAGTGTTGAAAGATTGCTTGTTGTACCAGTATTAAGTAGCAGCGACTGTCGATTCATCCGAAGCGTATAATACATGTCTATTTCTTTGAAGTGAATTTAATTTTCCGTACTTTTTTGTCAAATATCAAGTGTACGTATGTTTGATGAGAGCCAGTGAGGAATCTGAAGTTAGTTATATGAGTGATGCCAACGCTTGCCGATTCAAGATTAATTTGTTTAATCTACGAACTCCGGTAGATCATCGTTACTATTATTAAACCATTTCTGATTTACTATTGATTTTGTTCTAACAGCTTCAGTATTTCTAGGCTGTCTCGCATCGTAGGCAATTTAGTTTTAGCCCATAGCTTTTTTCAATGAAGCCTTCTCTATTCAAGTGCTATTATTTATTACTGTAACACCTCGGGTAATCTTCATATAACAATAGTCTTGGCTAATCAAAGTTTATGATTTTTTTAATAAAGCCAGCCGGTCATATCTTGGTATTTTATTTTTGCTCTTGTGTAGATGTAAAGCAGTAAGGAGAGCATTTATCAGTAGGTCGCGTCGCTTTGCCCACTTCGGTAACCGCCTAAGCCACCAACTACAATAATGTCACGTCGCCCAACACAGCCTGTAGCATCAGGACCCGTCAACGTTCAGCCCATTACTAAGTTGATTCTAGCTGTGCCTGTTTCTAATTCAACCTGAAATGGTGGCTATGCCTACGAGACTCCACTTGCGGCATAGGGGGTGTTGCATTATTTTATTGCTTTCAACCCAAATTTAGCGAACGCGCACAGGGAGTAAATGAAAGGCTATCAAAAAGAGATTTAATGTTTTACTGGCTAAACCGACCGAATGAGGCTTTCTGGGTTGATGCCGTTTTGGTCTGGAAGTTACTTTGACCCTAAGGCGCTTTCAGCTCTACAGAATACATCATAGATCAAGACACGTCCGTCCTTTCGTAATCCGACTTGGCCTAGGACCTTATCCTGGGTGTCTTGGGACGCTTCAATGAATATTGAATTCGGCAAATTTTCAGGACAACGAACGGCTTTGAATGCTATGTGGGACCAGGGGTAGCCGAAGGTGTGCGATGCGTGACAACCTCTTTTTATAATAAAAAATATAATTTATGGTAGCATTTAATACGTAGAAGACGGTACAGTTTTCTCTCGTTAATTATGTTAGATATTAGATATTGACCTTTTTTTTTTGTTCTCGCGATATTTGGTTTTTATTGGCTTCTACAGCAATAGATGTGTATTCAAACGTTGCATGACCGTAACGAAACAACTATTGTAAACTCTCTTGTCTATACAAGACGCCTTCAAGTTTTCAGCACGAAAAACTAGTGCACCTAAAAATATCGTATCTTGTGAATTTTGCTTAATCTGAAGCAAGAGAATCTAGCGAACTGACTCCGTTGATTTCCTCGCTTCTCTTTAATAGCAACACTGCAAAGGATCCGGTCACATAACTTTAATAAACTTTTTTGAGCACAACAATTATCTGTATTATCAGTAAAGTTAACACCTTTATCTACCTGCATATAGCAAAAATAACTTTTGAAGCTACCGACAAGGTTAGCGTCTTTCCTTTTGTTAAGGTTCGATAATACCGCGTGCTCCGTCGAATAACTGGTCGTTGGGAAACAACTGCTGTTTACGAAGCATTACGATTCTTGTTACATGTTTAAAGCCCTTAGACTGTTTCCTAAAATGTACTAAGCATGGCAAAAACGCTTTACGAGGCCAAAGGCATAGAGGGTACTTAAAAGGCTTAGGGTTGGAATTAAGTTTCTTTGAAATAGAAAGTTTTACCGACGGCTACCTGGTCCTTTGAATATGCACTATTTGCCGTTTATTTTGGCGTCCTTGCCAATAAGTTGATTAGCGGATATTCTAATAACAGCTGACGGAAAAGAGACACGACTGTCACGTTTCTTTTATAGGTTGGCTTGATAGGCGCGCATTTGACAAAGTGATCAATTACAGATCAGTTAGATGCTCCTCTAATTGTATTGCGACGCCCCTTGTACGAGGCACTCCACTCGTTTCGTGTGTAACGACAGAGGACACATACGAGAAAGACACTTAGAAGCAACAACCTTATTTTATTTGGCGGCATAATCTCAGCTGATTTTGGTCACACCACGGTCATTTTGTCGCTACATAAAATTGGCTTACTTTCATAAGCTCACTCAGTATTGGCGATTTTTCTGGATCTTCTTTGTATGAAGATTTAACTTCTTCTTAAGATAGAAACCACTTCTGTATCATACTGATGTGGAAACATCACTTGTTGTCAGCTGTAGCAGTTCTGTCTAGGATTCGACCATTGCGCGTTGCCAGGCTAGACATAGGGGAGTAATGGAACACTCCGCTCGTATATCTGCTCCTCATGTCTGAGTGCAGTCCATCTGTCAAAGTTGCCTAGCGGTAGTTGAACAGGAATAGTTTTTCTGTTCGGTCAATTCAGGAGTAATTTGTCGATTATCTTCCGTCGAGAGTACCTTCAGGCGGTCCTCATCGATCTCGACTGTCCGACAGGGCCAAGATATATCCTCACAGCCCGAGAGATGCTGTCGTTGAAGTTAACATATCACTTTTAACAATTCTGCTTGAGTACGGAGTTTGCATTGTACCGGTACAAATACACTATTCTTCGGTGGCTCTTTGATCTCGGGAAAAGACGAAATAAAGCAGGTATTAAGAATTATCACCTTCTCTTCATCTTAGATAAAATCTCGTTTGCCAAGCAACATAAGTGCAACAGACTTATACAGGCAATGGAACGGTTTTGAATGGTCGATAAAACAAGCAGACAGGTGGATAATAATAAGGGAACACATGGTTTCCATCGGAGTTATTCGAAATAGCGCTCGCCACTGTAAAACTAAGTTTTTCAAATGTCCTCTTGTTAAGTTTGGGTCTGAAGTAATAAGTTAGACGCTTAATCGATCACAACGTACATTTAATTGAAGAATAGATTGACAAAAATAAGTTTATGTCTCCTTGGAATATGTAATTAACCCTATTGCTATATCCGTTACTCATGTTTACGGCAAATTGAAGTTACAAAAATTAGTTAATATTGCATGTGTGGCGCTTTGGTACGTTATTTGAACAGATGGTAATAACTATGACAAGCTGGATCTAGATACCAGTCTATAGATCTGCTTTATACGCGAATGCTATGAATACGTATTGGCCAGCAGACATTAGCTTCATAGCAAGTAAAAGAAATTCGTCATAATCATATTACATACTCGATCATATATAAACTTTAAATTAAAATGTTTACAATAGACCGTACTGTCACGAACCATGTGGGTCCTCAGTAATCTCGTTAATAATTATATATGTCGCGAGAAAATAAACATTTTTTCCATATGTAGACTTAAGCAACAAGATTGTCGACTAAGATCTAGTACAAAACTGAAAATAACAGGGGAATAAACACTATAATAAAAATACGTTACACCTTTGTGCGAAGCGTATTGAGCGAAGCGTCGTACCTATTCACGTTTGATGGACCATAGTATGCTTGGTGTTGCACGCGTTTATCAGACACGTTATGTCTAGGATAAGACATTATCCCCTTACTTTCTAGGGAATGATTTACAAATAACTTATTTACGGTGTATACTGAGAATATGGACAAATCACTATTTTACCAACGCCCTATCCTGCGTTCGTCTGCTCTACAAAAGCTCCACTGTGTGTGATCTCAGATATCTAAGTTTTTCTTCCCCTATTCGTGTCGTATCTATCTTCAATTCGCCCGAATATCATCGAAGCCACATCGCACTGTATCCTCACTCATTCGAAGCTGTATTATCTTGCTCCCTCAGTCGAATCATCCTTCCTCTTTCATTAGCGGTCCTACCCTTTCATTGTGGAGCTGGTTCCATTACCACACCGCACGACCCTTTCCCTTAGCCTCACGTGGCCTGGCGCTGTTCTCTACGCTCTATGCAGCGCCAGTGATCCAAGCTGCTCCGCTTCGGCTCTAATAAGAACGCGGCGATTCGACGATAAGAGCGCGCGCAGCGCCGCTGGGACAGGCCGTGCATTCACTTAGTATCGTAGAGTCGGGCTGCTGTGCCATGCGGGGCAAGTTCCACATACAAACAAGCATTGTCACTCACAAAATAAGAACAAGATCAGCGATAAGGATGCCCGCCATGGCTGTCACCAGTTTCGCAAGCGGCTGACGACATGTGCGACCAGCTTTTCACGTTGTATGGAGGCGGGTCCACCTTCGTCACACATCAACGCTTATCGAAACTGTGAACCGAACGACGTTAGCGGAGTCTTCGTTGGGTAACGAAGAAGGTTTAGAAGGTTCGTCGACGTTATCCAGTGCGGACCGATGCTTAATGATAATACTCGTACACATCTGAAACAACCAGCTTCCGACATCTTCCACAGAATGAGCTAACTATACGAGAAGTAGTTTTAGATCAATGTAAGGAAAAGCCTATTAAGATCAAATGAACAAAACAATCAGTGCAAGGATACGGATACCGTGTTTGACTGTTTGTGTCTTGTGTAAATGTGTGCAATTGGGTAAAAGGCAAAGTTTCTGGAGCTTTAAGGAAAAAAATTAATGCATCGATCGCAAACTATTACCAAAGTTTGAAGAAGCAATCAATGTACCGACATCTGATCCAGATAGGCGAAAAAAATCACGGTTAATAGTTTTAGTTGTGACGGTGTGATACTGACCCGCTAATGACCAATTGTTCATCTATTCTTGATGGAAATTCGCCAATAGCCACCATGTAAATTCAACAGAGATCAAGTAAGTAGGAACGTTGCTTAACAGTGCTCAGAGATTGTGATTGCGGCGCAATGTGGTCAGTTCTGGTCAACGAGCGACGTCTAGAAGAGACACAACGTATAAAAACAGAAATATACAGTGAATTGTGCAGAGCCTTTAGATTGCAGTGTTTCTAAAAAGTAAAAATCTAAAAGCATATCTCCTCGGTTGTAAACTATTTCGACTATCGGCACTAGGGCATTATTTTTCGGTGCCAAACGACGTTAATCAACGCATTTATTTCGTTGCTGTTAATATAAGTTAATTGTTTTGTGTATACGGTGTGTAATATATGAATTGTTTGTTTGTGTGTATATTACGTTTTTCAGGACAGTTTTTACCGTTTGAAGATAAGTCGGGTATTCTTAGTCGCCAGGTCTTATTAACATAGTAAACATGCAGAATAAGAGGTTCCATAATTTTGATTTAACTGGATGCGCTTTGTCATTTATACTTTCCCGTAAACAAAAAGCCATGAAAAATCACCACATATGCACAACCAGAATATGGATCTTCGTTCGCTTCTCATTTGTTTCAGTTGGTCCTTAACTTGTAACGTGGCGGGTGTTAAGAGGTGGTAAATTCAAACCGTATCAGTTCGCCCTTGAGTTAATGCGTCACCTGTTCTCCGACAGGCCTTTATATGTTTATGCTTGAGATTCATGACCATTACGTAAACTGAAATCTCTATCAAAATCTTTTTACCGGGCCCCTGAAGTGCAAAGATGCTATAAAAAAAAAAAAATAAATAAAAAGTGATGACTAGTCTTCGGCGTTGCTTATGCCGTGAGAAGAGTCCCATAAGTCCTCAAGTTTAGTTCATAAGAAAACTGTTCTGTGTTAAGCTTCATTGGCGCCCACATTCATAAAGCTCAGGTGATCGTCATAATAAGTCGCTTCGGGGAGTAAATAACGAATGATTATCTGGATGAGGAACAATCGCCGAGTTTTACAAATCTAAGCGATCTGAGTTTAGATCGAGATACTAAGCATCGGCCTTTTGAACACAATCGTCATGTTGCAGCGCCCGATACCGACCAGTTTCTAGTCCGAAATGTATTGATGTTCGATAATAAAATACGGTTAGAGCATACTTTATTACCAGTTTAAGTAAATATCTTTTTCTACTTAAGAAAGCCGTATAGTACGGACCGCTGGCAAAACATGAAGCAGCGACTCTCAGCTACGGCCTTTCTCAAGGCATCGTGCAAGAGCTCGGTTAGTTAAACGAATGAGAGAGATAAATAGGGGCTAAAATCATAGTGGCTTTAATGAGGGATCGTTAAATCGGCCGATAGTAAACGTCCGTCGCCCTTTGCAGCAGAACCACGAAAGTTGCAATCTCTTAAATCAGTTGCCTATTATTGCATTTATAGAAGCAGGAAACTAGAGAGATAGTTCATTAGTCCATGATCGTTAGATAGGCGTTGTGGCTATAAAATAAATTCCACTCAGGGGCAACCGGTGAAGCTTTTGAAATTTATATAGTCTTGAGTAGAGCCTAAGTATTTTATGAACATTTATTTGAATATTCGACGACCACAGAATGCATCAATGTTCACGATTGTTAAACGTATTTGCATGAAATAAAAATTCAATGCGTTTGAAATAACCCTAAGCTATATTCGAGATCTCATACGTTTGAGGTCAGTTGGCAGGTCGGTGAACGGAACGACTTTTGAGCAGTGAATATGATAAAAAAAATTTCACTTTTTTGAGTTATTTATTAATTATTTCTATCACCGGGAAGTCCTGAAGTTTGTATCCAGAATGCTCGCTACACATGGGTGTCGCTATTTAAAACTCATACTTTACGCTGTGGGTAGCGCATTATGTACCCTTTTGAAACAGATTTTGCCATGCCTGTCAGACTTGTGGAAATATTCATGCGCAACAAAAGACATGGTCATGGTAATGAATTGCCTGTGGTACCTTTTGATGAAGGCAGAATTTAAGCGCTTGAAAATAAACCATCTTCCAGCAGTTGCGCACTGCGCCTACAACAGCTAGAGTAGAAACAGATATTTCTTAGACCAATTTTTTCGAGATGTAGCCAGTAAAATGCAAAACTCTTTGATAGGATACAGCCTTTGAGTTCCACGAGCTAGCTAAAATATTTCTCTTGAATACTACAATACTCCGTGATTATCTCAAGAGACATCCCAAGACTAGCACAGACGTGCCAACAACCGTAAAATTCAAGCGAATCGTCATTACGTTGTTCCTAATTTCGCTGGGCCGCTGCTTACGTGCGAACGTACTTCAACCAAGTTAACGGGAAACGTACATACTCGTCTTTACTATCGGATCTCTCTGTCTAATGGGGAAATTTTGAAAGGACCAAATTATCAAATATCATAAAATGAATATGCCATGTTCGAACTGTAAATTAGGTTCTCTGGCACGCACATTTCCAAGCGTCCATTTAGCTAAGGTATCTATCACACAGAGGCGTTAAACCTTTGCTCTTTATGCGAGAAGATTATATTTGCCCTGTCCAAGCCGAAAGGCACATTAACTACAACTGAAACAAAATAAGCAGTCAACAGCACTTTGCTGGTGCTCATTTTTGCCCTTTTATATCTGTTTCAAGATTTTTTTAAGGTTCTGTACCCGCTAAAACATGTGAAACATATGAAATTTAGCTTACATCTTATCTGCTTATCCAATCCTCCAGCGAGGAATGTATTGATGATGATTTCAATATAGATGTAAATCGATAATTCTTAAAGGCGGGTTACTATGGTGGCCGACAAATGTAAAGGTGGAGGACGGAGCGTATGGAAGGAACGAAATTATTCACCTGATCCACTTCCGATAGCCTAACCCATTCTAGCAGGACCATGCCTAATAGAAGTCAAGCTAAATATGTAGCTCTGAGCGGCGGCGAGCTAAAGGTAATTCTATCGCAAAGTACGAAGTGTAAAAAAAATATCAAATTAAATACTATCAGAATCTCTCTTTGTTTACTTCATTTTTGTTGTGTTCTTTGGGTGTGTTTTGCTTAGTTCTGCAAAAAAGTTTTCAATCTTGCGCCATAGGAGCACCACGGCTCGAGATTGAAAAAAACTATGAAAAAAAACCCAAAGCGGAAGAACATGAAATTGGGGCTGACTGCGGCAAGCAACAGGACTTGTCACAACCCCAGATCGGCCCCCAATTGATAGAAAGTTCAATCAACTGATGCGTTAGCTTTTACGCGGGATATTCCCTTAAATTCAGACAGCGCTGATGCTTTTCTCCTGTAAGGTGCCTTTAAATGAAACACCTGTGTAAGTGACATTTTTTGCATGCTTGCATTGACTAGGACACTTCTGGCAGATATGTTTACTTAACATAATTTTCATTATCTTCGATCATAACCTCGATTAAGGATTTCAATTGCTAGCAGGTAATTTTTTTTCGCTAACTTTATAAATAGTTTTTTTAATAGTAACTGTGGATCAAAAGATAGTGGGTTGTACGTGTTGATCCAACAAGGTCTTGCTTAGACGTGCTATATACACAAAATGTCGCCGATCTAAATCTTTGGTATATAGCAGGCCAAAAACGGCAAAAACCCAAGGGTCCCAAGAAGTATAAAAGTTGAAAAGGTGCCAAAGCCGTAATGAGTTTAGACAACAATAACCATTAGGGTTCATCTGGACGGCCTGACTGACAACAATGGGCCTTCCCTAAAACAGCTTCTAAGTTCTATATTGAAATTGCGCGATCTTTACAAATTGCATTTTGAATCGCCGTTTATTAATCAGCCAGCGCTTTCAGTTCAATCTTTATTGTAGATGTTCGGCTTAACTTGCTAAAAATTTTTATTGGATTCTTTGGAATCCTCATAGAGGTTAGGAACAACATAGACTATTGATCTCGGGCAACCCAGCAAAAACAGATGAGTGCCATTTTTAGTCAGCAACATCCGTCGACTGTCAACTGTTCTCTGGAGTTGAAATGATTTTGACAAAGCTGGGAGGAACAAAGAGAGCGACGAGAGAATTGCTTTCCGAGATTTTCAAGTCGACGAAGGTCTTGAACAGTAATTAATATCTGAGCGTTTAAAACCAGCTTTGTAAGATGACATTCTATCACAGTAGTTCTATGATCTTGTATGTTTGTTTAGGATTCAACTACATGGACTCAGGTTTGATATTTTATAAATCGTGTCTGCTTGCAACGTAGTAAGTTCCAAACTAATATCTCGTGTATCGGGAACTCGAACCGACAATTCCTGGCGTCTTACGGATTAATTAGGCTTCATAGAAACAAGGTAGCAAGGGGTGTACCCTAATCTAGAACGTTAGGTCTGGTTATTTGTATGTCTCGCCTTAACCACTTTGATACAATGACTTAATAACAAGTTACACAGTATATTTGATTTCAAAATATTTCATTCATAGTGCTCTGCCTAGTCAGATCTTCCATTTGAGGGACAAGATTGGTACGAAGCGGCGACACCTTTTCCTCTGTAAATCTTTTTTCAAAATTTATACGTTCTCACAAACAACCGCGCACATGTATCAAGTCAGAATGATTCTCATCAAGAGAATTGTGTGTGGGGCAATATGATGACAAAGATTATTTTGGCTTAGACACCATTGACTCTCTAAGCACCTGTGCATAGAGCGGTTAAAGTTTATACTCAGCAGAATCAATGATGAAAGCATCTAAAAATAGTTTCAGATTTAAACGAATTTTAAATTTAGAGAGGAAGGAAACTGATGCACTTAGTTGTAAAACAAATGCCATGTCTCAGAATTTGTTTTTATTGCAGTATTGGAACCTAGGTAGGATAAGGAAGACCTATAATTCCCAACCAATATACGACACGGAAGGGCTAACGTTCAAAAGCTTATACAGATTTCTAGTCTTTTACAAATACCGCGCCAATTAAATCCTCGTACAGCTTTATACCAAGGCTCTGCTTAGAAATCGCCCTGAAAAATATTAGAAATGACCGATATCTACATGTACGGCTGGTCGGTGCCTGC